TTTCCCTCTTTGACTTCTACAGAGAGCTAAATACATATTTCTTCTATCGTTTGATTCTTTTCTTAGTGAGTTTGATTTTTTGGTGGAAGATATCAACTGGGTTACCACAACAATGGAATGAAGACATGAGTGGATAATAAAAGGCTTGAAGGAGGAGTAAGAGAATCAAGATTTTCAAATATGAAGATAGGCCTTAGTAAAGGGCATAAGTGTCTAAGAGAATGAAAGAGTGATCGGAGTAGGAAGAGGGGAAGGAAAATTGAACTAAGGAAGGAAATTTTAGATTTAAAGTCAAAGGAGATCAAAAATCTATCATGACGAGTTATGACAGGAGAAGCTCTCAAGTTAGACCAAGTAAACTTTTTACATGAAGGGGGAGATCCATAAGAAAAAGGGAATTGATGAATTTTTCTGAAAAGATTCATGTCTCTACTAGATCCTGATCTACCACTTCTTTCATTAGCATGTAAAGTGACATTAAAATTCCCAAATAGAGACCAAGTAATGGAAACATTAAACTATTTTTTATTTATTTTCACTAACATACTTCCTTCTCATCTTTTTCAATAGGAGCATAAATGATAGAAACTAAGAATTTCCATTTGAGATGTATATAAAATGATAGAAATAGAAAAGATTCTGATATAAGAATTGAGGCAATCAAACAAAGAAGCATGCCATCCTAATAGCACTTCATCCTTAGAGTCACTACCATCTAATTTTAGCCAAGAATTAATTCTATACCCACCAAGACTTTTAAGGGATTGAGGTCTAATGACATTAAGCTTAGACTCTTGAATAACTATGATATCAACATTTGAGAACATAATATCATCTTTGACCAACCTCCTTTTAGTAGGGTCATTAAGGCCCCTCACATTCGATGAACCAAGCTTCATAAATAAAGATGATAACAACACTATTAGGGCGAGAAGCAGTGGGCTAAGATTGTCCCACTGCTCGATCAGACTCCAGATCCTTAAGACGAGCCAGATCATCAATGGGGATAGGTTCCTTAGCTCCACAGTTAGGTTATATACTAACCAGTTCATTATCATGCTTCCCATTTAAAGATAAAGATACTGAAACAGAAGATGAAGACTTACCCCGTTTGGAAGATGAAAGAAGAGACTTGGAAGCCGCGAGATGATGTAGATATGCTTTATATCCTGTTGTTCTTCCCACCAGGTTGGCTTTACCAACAAGTTTCTTCTTCCTTCCCGCAGCTAGATACTCAAATCTTGGGGGAATAAAGGTAGAAGTTTCCTTCATGGGAGCTTTTGGGGAACCAGAAGAGGAGCCAGCAGGAGTCAGCAACAAGTAGAAGAGGATTTGGTGGAACATTAGAACCACCCACACCTTGATCAATTATGAAAGTTGTCCATTGGACCCGCTCTACCATCACATTATTGCCATTCCAAGCCACCTCAATCAATTCGGGTTCTACCGTATTAGTACTCGCAATTTGTGGCCCCAAGTTGATATGAGATATCTTAGAATCTTGCCTCACATCGGCTGTTACCTTAACAACCTCCCTAAATCCTGCTTTATTTGTATTTAAAAGTGAAAGGACTAAATTTTCCTTGCCTTTTAACTTTCTTGCCGGTGAGCTAGGAACCCTCGTGGCTGGTCGCCTTTAGTTCATCTCCTCCTCCTGGCCCCCTTCATCCACCCAGCCAAATTTCGTATATGTATTACCCACCCATTTTGCTTGGTGCTCTTGCACCTCTGGCTTTTCAAAAGCCCTCTCCAAAATAGGTTTACTAATGACTTGGGTGATGGTAGAGCCTTCCATCAAGCTACCATCGACTGGAAATAAGTATCTGAAATTGATCTCCTTAGGGATGTCAGATAAGTCCCTAACTTTGATGAGGACTTTGCAATCACTGAAATTAGTGTGGAATGCAACATCGTTAGAGCTCATAATGCATTCTCCAACATCATTCAGGAGGATCTGAATAAAATCCCAATACCAGAGGTGATACGGCAGCCTATAAAGACAAATCCAAGTCAAGAATGGTTTTGGAAGGACCTTGAGACCGAGGTCTTCAAGCCACCGACGAAATTTACCTCGAAAGCACACCATATCAATGATCTTCATCTCTTCAGCTTGATCGATAAGTACATCGTTAGGGAATTAGACTGTAAAGCTAGTCTGTGCCGCCTTAGAAATCTTGTAGGGCTAATTCTTCAAATTGAAATGGCATGCGATCATCTCTATGAGTTTAGAGAAAGATGGGGTGCCTAAAGATAGGTAGAAGATGACAAAAGATCCTAGATCTTCGATGACGCTTAGGGTTCCTGGCGAAAGATCAATAACAGGAGGGGGAGCAAGGAGCCTTGTCGCAAAAGGGCAGCCTCGAGAAGTATGGCCTTTGCATGGCATCTGAACCAAATAAAATCCCCTTCAGGGTAGTCTCTGGCCATGTATCAAGCTTGTGATAGAAAAAACTTCTTTAATAGAGGAGTAGGAAGAACATGTCGTCCTCTAGAAGAAAAATGGTTTCTTTTTTTTAGGAAACTTTAGTCTAGCCCTCGCCGAGAGACGGATTTGAACGAGGATGAGGGAGAGGAAGAATGTGTTTTATAGAATCTGGAGGGCTAAGAGGATGAGGGTTGTGGTTGTTCTTAGAAAACAAGGACGAAAAAGGTTTTGAAAATAAGTGCAGGCGAACTGGCTGCACCACGTTGGGCTACGTGTGGACATTGATTGGAGAAGGTGGAACGATAACCATTGATGAGACATGGAGGGGTAGTAGCAAGTCTCCATTGTTTACCTTAAAAAATCTCCGAAAATCCCCCTCTGCCCTCCAATTATCTTAGGGTTGGATTTTTTTTTGGTATTAGGTTTGTATTATGTCTTTTGGTGATTGAAAAGTTGGGAGAATTTATTAATAAAATTAGGATTTCTTATTTTGAGAATTTCAAATTCGTTCTTGGAGTTCTTAGCCTACGTATTTGCTTGATTCGTTGGTGATTTCATTGACATTTTATACCTCTTGATTCATCAGTGGTGCAAAGTCAGGTTTGGGCTCTCATCAATTTCAATGCAACGTTTTCATATAATTAAGACAAAGATGTTCATACAATTAAGTGGCGAAGAGTATGTACATTTCTAATTTTGTCCTAAACGCACTCTCGTCCAATTCATTCCAAATGTACAAGTATATGCGAGGACTACACAATCCCTTTGATTTACGATACATGACGGGGTGTTCTCATGCCAAAAGTTTCAAAGTGTTGTTGTTGACGATAAAAGTGGATGAGAGCAACAATCAATGAGAATAGGATATCAAATACTAAGTATAAGAACAGTGGAAAGATTGTGATTATCAGATGTCCGATTGTTGTTGCAAAGAATGCATGTAGGATGATTATGTGACAAGCTCTATTAGTAATATTATCAACGTACGTTGATCAGTCTACAATATAACCAGTCTCGGCCCTGTGGCAAGCCCACTAAGCCCCGGGGCTGGGGCAACTCAGGACCGGTGGGCAACCAAATTTTTTATATACAATATAGGGTTATAATTTATAAACATAAAATCCTAAGCTTTGACATGATGCAGGCTTAGTATTGTGGTTGAGGGGTTTGTTTGTTGTGTAAACCGTCCTTGTACTAGTCTTAGAGGGTGCATTTCATCAGATTTTTTCAAACACGTGCATATGTAAGATGACTTAATTGAAGAATTCGCTTCAAAAAATTCAAGGAGAAGTAATTTTATTTGAATTAAATTGTAGCACAAATGTAATCTTTTCTTATATGAATATTGATTTTGCAAGAGAATATTATCAGTTTGAGCCTAATATAGAACGCTAAATGGTATTATATGTATTCATTTTTATCGTTGTTAATCGTACCAAATTTTTAATATAAGAGGCAACCAAAATTGAATTGGGATAGAGCAACCCAAACCTCAGGACCGGTCCTGAATATAACATTAGCAGCATGAGAATTTTCATCTTGGGTGGAGGACTCGGACTACGGACGAGGAATTTTCATGTTATGAGGTCTCTTTTGGCTTTTGGATCAACAAAATTTTGGGTTACCAATATTTTTGACATCAAAGTACCACCATAGGACACGTGTCACAACCACTGAACTCATTGGTCGAAACTCGTACTTCATCAGCATGTCGTTGGTCATTGGTTTATCTGCCGCCAATGACTTGTTCCTCGAGTCATCCACCTCGACTTTGAATCTTCATTTTCTTGCCCTTATTTTGGGCAAAACTTTCCCATCCTAACTCCAACCACTCAAAAGAAAACGTTCACTTATAAAATACTTAAATTTGAGGGTTTATAATTAGTTAACGGGTAAGTTTGCCTACTTCCAATATTGCTTTGTCATCGTATTTAGGTTTATTTAGTTGCGTACCAAAGAGCCGTGTGCTAACAGTGATTAAATAATTTAATGAATAAAATTAAGGGCAATTTACACTAAACCCATACGAGCTTTCATCGTTTTGGGGTAAACCCCCATAACTTTCAAAATCTTAATCAACCCCAAATAACTTTTACAAAACCCCCCGAATATCTTCTACTTAACCTACACTAAGCTCTCAATACCTTTCAAAACTTACTGGGGATTTACTACAAAATGGTAATAGTTACTTGGGGGGTTTTATATAATTAATTTACCCTAAACTTTTAAGCCACATGATGCGTGTAAGAACTGCTTGCGCAACTGTTAGTTTCTAGAGCTTCCCAAACACTAGGAATATGATCATATCTCTATGTACGTGAAGAATTTTCCGAATAGACATTAACGAATACAGTTCATATTGGCCAAACTATGGATAATAGCTTAAGCTAAACTCAATAAATAATATCCAACATAATACTACATTTAACAAAAAAAAAACCACTTAAATTTAAAAAATTCAATAAACTAAAATCAAGCAATTAGCTCACCCTCCAAAATTCAAAACGAGAAAAGTCCACTAAACAATAAGAAACTTCCAACGAGCTAGCCCTCAACATTTTCTCCTCCATCCATCAAAAAGACTCATTCTCTCTCGCATAGTATTCATCTCCCTCCCTTGCTTGACCCAATTATACATCCCCTAAATATCCCTTCGTCCTTTATATACGACTAACAATCAATCTCAAACTCAAAACCTCCCCAAATTATTAACTACCCGTCACCAAAAAATGAACTCCGTCAAGCTCTTAGCCTTGAACCTTTTCATCATCTCCTCAGCCTCCGCTTTCCCTTGGGACTCGTTCCTGAACCTCACAGACTGCCACTTCGGCGACTCCAACCCCCTCGTCCCCCAACTCAAAACCTACCTCCATCGCTTCGGCTACCTCGCTCGAACTTCACCGACACCTTCGACGATGGCCTCCAATCCGCCCTCAAAACCTACCAGCACAACTTCAACCTCGACCCCACCGGCTTCCTCGACCCCTCCACCATCATGAACCTCATCTCCCCCCGCTGCGGCGTGGCCGACATAATCAACGGGACCTCCTCGATGGCCTCCGGCAAATTCTCCGGCAGGCACCTGTACGCTTACTTTCCAGGGAACCCGACGTGGCCGTTCTTTAAACGGAGTCTTAACTACGCGATTACGTCGACTTCGGCGGTTTCGACATCGCCGTCCGTGCTGAGGGCGGTTTTCGCACGCGCGTTTAAGCGGTGGTCGGCGGCGACGAATTTGAATTTTACGGAGGTTCAGGATGAGTCTGATGCTGATATAACGATTGGGTTTTATCGGGGGGATCATGGGGATGGGGAGGCGTTTGATGGGGTTTTGGGGACCTTGGCGCACGCGTTCTCGCCGACGGACGGAAGGTTAGTTCAATATGGTGTCCTGCTCTTTAGGATTTTTTTTTTGGGGCTCCCTGAATCTCGAGGGGTTTTCAGAACTCTGTATATTCGACCTTCACTCCCGTGAATGGTTAGAATGTTTCAATATGACTCTTAATATTTTAGGGTCGATCCTCATGTAAAAAAAACATTAACACTACTAAGTTTGATGTCGCACGTGAAAGAGAAGGACAAATTTGAGCCTTCATTTTTGTGAGGGTGTTTGCGTCAAGGAGTAAAACTTGAGTTGTTTTTAAGAAGGGGCATTTAGTCATTTCTCCATTAGTGGGTAACATCACGAGGTCGGATGGAAAAATTTCAAGTTCAGAAGAGTTGAAGTGAGGCACCCCAAAGTTGAGGGGATAAGCAAAGTTCGGGGGTTTTATCGAAAAGCTCTCAAGTTCAAGGGTGCAAAGTGAACTTAACCTTTTTTTATTGTTTGTTTTCAGAGGTGTTGAGTGTAATTAACCCCTTTCCACTATATCTTTTCAACGTCACGTTGTACTTTTTTTAAATCACTTTACCTTAGATTTTTTTGTGTTTTTTCTAGAAACCACCTTAGAAAAAAAGTGATTATGGGATCTATCTTTTAATTTTGATTTACACATAAACCGTTGTTAAAGTAGTTTTTTTTTTTTTTTGCAGTTAACCACTTCCAATCAAATATTCACTAAAAAGCTAAACATAAGCTTTAAAAAAATTAAAGTTCAAGATATGTAAGTTGTATCATAACAATATCTGAACACTATAAAAATGAGTTACGTGCATTGAATGTGAGTTTTTAAAGGAGAAATTTGGATTTTTATGTTAGATCTACATCATAAAACTTAAGATCTAAAACCATATAGCCATGATTAATTCAAAGAGATTAACAATAATCAAAAGAGCGGAAGCTTATACCTGAATCCATTGCTTGATCTTGATTTTGCGTTTTGGATCTTCTAACCTTAGGGTTTCCTCTAAAACCGAATTTCTCTCTTAGATGGGGGTGAAGAGAATTAGAGAATGTAACCCTAGGTTAGGGACCATAACCCCTTATTTATAGATGTTGTACTTTTGTAATTTAGCCCCTCAATAAATCACAATTACAACCTGGTATCTGCACATATAACCCCATGACTTATTTAAATACCAAATTAACCCAACTTAATTGATCACTTTAGTGGGTTATCCTGAAAGATAGCAATACACATTGATTAATCATATGTGCCCACAAATAGATTTATTAGATTAAATCCAACAATCTCCCACTTGGGCACCATATGATTCCTTAAATTGTGTATAACCTTATGAGCTCAAAAATTGCTATCACTGAAATGGTATTTCCGAACAATCTCGTCCATTGACTATATCAATATAGGATCAAAGCGGCCTTCGTCACATTTATCGTGACTCGACCCATCAATGGTCACATATACCAATACAATCAAACGACATAGATCAATCATGGATGTGCAGCATGAAAATTACATGCAATGTGATCAGTACATGTCTATTTTCAACTGGTCCTCCTTAGTGAGGTCAAAACCAAACATAATGTAACAGAGTGTCTTAACTGAATACTTTATTCTGATCAGACAATACAACCAAACATAAAGCACCACAAATACAAACTCCCACTAAAACATAATATCCTCAAATAATACCACACCCATATGAGCAGTATGCTCATGAAAGACCTTAGGTGGCAATCCCTTAGTAAGAGGATCAGCTATCATGGAGTTTGTCCCAATGTGCTCTATGGATATCTGTCCACTCTGTACCCTTTCTTTCACAACCAGGAACTTAATGTCAATATGTTTTGACTTAGTTGAGCTCCTGTTGTTATTGGAATACATTACTGCAGATTTATTGTCACAATATAACCTTAGTGGTCTTTCAACATTTTCCAAAATGCGCAGTCCCGTGACAAAATTTCGCAGCCATATTCCCTGATTGGATGCCTCATAGCAAGCTACAAATTCTGCTGCCATAGTGGAGGAAGCTACTAGTGTTTGTTTGACACTTTTCCATGATATAGCTCCTCCTGCTAACATATAAATGTAGCCTGATGTAGACTTCCTGCTATCTTGGCATACAGTAAAATCAGAGTCCGAATACCCAACGACCTCTAATTTCTCTGATTTTCTGTATGTGAGCATGTAATCTTTTGTTTTCTGAAGATACCTCATAACCCTTTTGACTGCTATCCAATGATCCATACCAGGGTTGCTTAAGTATCTGCCTAACATCCCAACAATGTACGCAATATCCGGACGCGTACATACCTGAGCATACATTAGACTTCCTACAGCCGAAGCATAAGGAATCTTCTGCATTTCCTGAATTTCAAGGTTACCTTTAGGGCACTGATTGAGACTAAACTTGTCTCCTTTAGCAACAGGGGTGTCACCTGGTCTGCAATCTTGCATGCCAAACCTTTTAAGTACCTTATCGATATAGCTCTTTTGTGATAATCCAAGAATACCCCGAGAGCGATCTCGATGTATCTGGATCCCTAATATAAAAGAGGCGTCCCCAAGATCTTTCATCTCAAAATTCTTTGATAGAAATCTCTTGGTTTCGTGCAACATGCCTATATCATTAGTGGCAAGCAAGATGTCATCCACATACAGAACCAGAAAAATATACTTACTCCCACTGAACTTGTGATATACACAGTCATCAACAATGTTCATCTCAAAACCGAACGAGATAACTATTTGTTGAAACTTATGATACCATTGACGAGGAGCTTGCTTGAGTCCATAGATGGATTTCCTTAATTTGCAGACCATATTCTTTGGGTCTCCCGACACAAAGTTTTCTGGTTGCACCATATAGATCATCTCATCAATGTCTCCATTGAGAAATCCAGTCTTAACATCCATCTGATGTAACTCAAAATCATAATGAGCAACAAGTGCCATGATTATCCTGAAAGAGTCTTTTGATAAAACCGGAGAGAAAGTCTCTGTATAATCAATGCCTTCCTTTTGAGTATAGCCTTTAGCCACAAGACGTGCCTTATACCTCTCCACATTACCATTTGCATCCCGCTTGGTTTTAAAAATCTATTTACAACCAATTGGTTTTGCACCTTCTGGTAATGGGACAAGTTCCCAAACCTTATTGTCTTGCATAGACTTGTACTCTTCATTCATGGCATCAATCCACTGTTGAGAGTTAGAACTTTTCATGGCCTGAGAGAAGTTGATTGGATCATCTTCTAACATTCCACTACTTTCCTCATGTTCTTGGAGAAATACAATATAATCATCCGGAATAGCATTTCTCCTTTCTCTCGTGGATCTCCTTAATGGCACTAGTTCTTGAGGTTGTTGAGTTTGTTCTTCTGGAACAGGGAGTTGTTCAACATTATCATCTTGAGGTTCCGGATTTACTTCTTGAGCAACAACAGGTATAGGAACCTGAATATTGTCAAAAGTAACTGTATGGATTGGATCTGAAGCCAATTCCTCCTCAAAACTAATGTCTCTAACCTTATTTCTCCCCCCAAACTCAACATCCTTATTGTCAAAAGTAACTGTATGGATTGGGTCTGAAGCCAATTCCTCCTCAAAACTAATGTCTCTAACCTTATTTCTCCCCCCAAACTCAACATCCTCAAAGAATGTTGCTGTTCCCGTCTCAAAAATATTCCTTATAGTGGGATCATAAAACTTAAAGCCCCTAGAGCGTTCAGAGTATCCATCAGACACAAGACGCTCAATTCTACCTTTTGAGATATGACCTAAGCGCTTATGCCATAATGTCGCCGAATTTTCCTTATTTAATTTACGCTTAGTACCACGTGATTCCACATGCAAGGATTCATTGTAAGAAGCAATTGTATCAAGCAAATATAGGTTGTCATAAATACTCAAGTAACCGGTTCCCACAACATTTGAATTAAAAGATAAACTGAATTGACTGTTTCCAAATGAACAAGAATAACCTGATTTGTCCAATACAGAAACAGAAACCAAATTCCGTCTAAAAGACGGTACTACAAAAGTATCTTTTAAATCCAAATAATAACCAGTTCCTAACAACAACCTAAAGTGCCCAATTGCTTCCACATCTACCGATTGTCCGTCGCCCACAAAGATGTGTCTTTCAACATCACTTGGCTTTCGGTAGCTCAGACAACCCTGCATAGAAACACTTATGTGAGTAGTAGCACCAGAGTCTAACCACCAAGTGTTTCTAGGTACTGAAGCTAAATTAACCTCAGAACAGACCAAAGCAAGGAACGTACCCTTATTATCACGCCAGGCGTGATATTTTGTACAGTCCTTCTTTACATGTCCAGGCTTCTTACAGAAGAAACAACCCTGATTATCCTTATGTTGTTTCTTCTCAACTGGACCCTTAGCAGCTTCCTTATCATTCTTCCTTTTCTTGCCCTTATCCTTAGAGGCATAGGCCAAATGAGCACTTTCTGTCTTATCTTGCTTCAACCTGTCTTCTTCTTGCACACAGTATGATGCGCTCATTTTTAGAGTCCATTTCTCCTTTTGACAGTTATAACTGACCTTAAATTGGTTAAACTGTGCAGGAAGAGACAACAAAACCAGATGCACTAATAACTCGTCACAAAGATCGAGTTTAAGTGCCTTAAGCTTTGAAGCAATATGAGACATTTCCATAATGTACTCCCTGATATTTCCTTTGCCCTTATACTTCATTGAAATCAAGCGAGCTAAAAGCGTGCTTGTTTCTACCTTATCGTTTTTCGCAAAACGCTTCTCAATTTCGGCAAGGAAATCTTTAGCCTTAATAATCCATTCGGATTCTATGCCCCTGAAGGCCCTTGGAACGCCGCGCTTAATGATCATAAGACTCATGCGATTTGAACGCTCCCACTTCTCATGCTCCTTCTTTGCATCAGGAGTGCTATCCGCATTGAGAGGTTGGGATTGTTCAGTTCTTAATGCATAGTCAAGATCCATGCAGCCAAGAACAATTAATATGTTTTCTTTCCAAACCTTGAAGTTTGTCCCATTTAGCATGGGAATTGGGTTGATGTTAGCAGAAATTATTGCAGCAGATGCATTAGCTGAAATAGAACAAAAGAATGCTCACATCAATAACCATAATCAATAAAATTTAAATAATGACAATCCCCATCCAAGATACCGGCACAACATTAATATCAAGTCTTTGGACAGTAATATTAACTTGTAAGTGATACCTTGTTGCAATGATCAAACATTGACAATAACTCATGTCAAATAATGAAACTATCTTTGGATCGATTCATTATTCACATGTAAACCTTATAATTGTCACACGCTTATCATCGCAGATGTGTATACAGTCTAAATAAATATTAACCTTCCTTTGGGCCGATTAAATATTTACACGAAAGCATACACACAAACATCTCACATTCCTCATGAACAATCTACACAAGAGAGGTTACTTTGGTAACTTCTTGTTTCAATTAATCAATTGGAGTGAGAGACAACCTTAATACCTTAGTGTCATAATATTTGAATTAAATAATTGATTAAAAACCGAATTAGATTTAAATTAAAAAATTTAAATCAACTGAATTTCCAAAAGCTTGGTTGGGGTCTCACAGCTTAATTAGGGCCCATAACTTAATTGAATAAATTAAGTATACCAAAGTGGACCCATGAAAAAGCCAAGGCTTAACCATAATGAACACGAAGTTCCCTTAACTTCGAACGCGAGGTTCGACTGTATTGAGTACGAGACTCACTTAAGCACGAACGCGAGGTTCGTCTGAAAATGAACGAACGCGAGGTTCGTTTGATAAAAGAACGCGAGGTTCAACTTGGGAACGAACGCGAGGTTCGTTAAAAAAAAAAATGAACGCGAGGTTCAACTGAAGTACAAACGCGAGGTTCGTCTGAAGTACGAACGCGAGGTTCGTCTGAAGTTCGAACGCGAGGCTCGACTGAAGCACGGACGCGAGGTTCGTCTGAAGTACGGACGCGAGGCCCGACTGAAGTACGAACGCGAGGTTCGTCTGAAGTACGAACGCGAGGTTCGTCTGAAGTACGAACACGAGGTTCGTCTGAAGTACGAACGCGAGGTTCGTCTGAAGTACGAACGCGAGGTTCGTCTGAAGTACGAACGCGAGGCTCGACTGAAGTACGAACGCGAGGTTCGTCTGAAGTACGAACGCGAGGTTCGTCTGAAGAACGAACGCGAGGTTCGGTTAAAATTGAGCTTGACGCTCACCTGAGTTGAACGCGAGGTTCACCTTAGAACGAACGCGAGGTTCGTTAAAATTGAGCTTGACGCTCACCTGAGTTGAACGCGAGGTTCACCTTAGAACGAACGCGAGGTTCGTTAAAATTGAGCTTGACGCTCACCTGAGTTGAACGCGAGGTTCACCTTAGAACGAACGAGGTTCGTTGAGCGCGAAGCTCGGTTAAAAAATTGAACGAACGCGAGGTTCGTTTGAGGTAACCACCTCCTTAATTTTCGCCATGAACCCTTAGGGTTTCAAATTGAAACCGCCGCCGTCAAATCCAAAAAATCTTTGATTTTTATTTTCAAAACAGATCTAGAATTGGAAAAAATCAAAGAAAAATCCGAAAAATTCCAATAAAACTTTACTGTTCATCCGAACAAAAAACTTTACTGTTCATCCAAAAAAAACTTTACTGTTCATCCGAACAAAAAATTTTCGTTACTGTTCACCGAACATTACTGTTCATCCGAACCCAAAAATTGAATCTTTAACCAGAGATTTAAGATCAAAAACCCAATAAAACTTAAATCCCTAAGAATTAATCAAGGTGGCTCTGATACCACTTGATAGATCTACATCATAAAACTTAAGATCTAAAACCATATAGCCATGATTAATTCAAAGAGATTAACAATAATCAAAAGAGCGGAAGCTTATACCTGAATCCATTGCTTGATCTTGATTTTGGGTTTTGGATCTTCTAACCTTAGGGTTTCCTCTAAAACCGAATTTCTCTCTTAGATGGGGGTGAAGAGAATTAGAGAATGTAACCCTAGGTTAGGGACCATAACCCCTTATTTATAGATGTTGTACTTTTGTAATTTAGCCCCTCAATAAATCACAATTACAACCTGGTATCTGCACATATAACCCCATGACTTATTTAAATACCAAATTAACCCAACTTAATTGATCACTTTAGTGGGTTATCCTGAAAGATAGCAATACACATTGATTAATCATATGTGCCCACAAATAGATTTATTAGATTAAATCCAACATTTTAGTGAAACTTTTGACTAGGATGTGCTTGACTGTACCGAAAACCAAGTCTAAAAATAGTTTTATGTACAAATTAAAAATGAAATACGGTCTCCATACAATTATTGTTAGGATTGTGTCTTTGATTCTTTATATAACTTCATGAGAATTAGATAGGGTTAGATATTTATCATGATTAGGAGATTGAGTCTCATCATGATTAGGAGTTTGAATCATATTCTAATTATGAAGTTATGCTAGAGATATGATTTTAGTTTCTCCATATATATTCTTCTATTGTTGAAGAAAAAACCAAGCAGATGAGATAGAACCAATATTCTTGTAATTTAGGGTTAGCAGAGGACGTAGCCTGATTCCAGAATATTGTGCGAGAGATGAGGGTTTCGTAGTCTTTATCCGTGCAAAAGATTACATCATTGGGAGAGGGTTTCGAAGACTTTGTTCGTTCAAAAGATTGTAAGGAGAGAGCTTTGGAGAAAATATAAGAGTTGATTATGTATATGAGGTTGAGAGATTGAAAGACGAGAGTTTAGTAGTTTCTCTTATAGTTCTCCATGATACATAGTTGATTTCTCGTATTGTTGCCCATGGACATAGGTCGAAGTTGGTTGACCAAACCACGTAAATTTTGGTGTTCTTTCTTCTTGATTGTGGTTATTTTCTATTTTGTTGATTGTGGGTTAGCTTCCAAATTGCGCATATTGTAGTAGGTAAGGAGACTAAAATTCCTAACAAGTGGTATCAGAGCAATGGTGATGAACCTGGGCGTTAGTTTTTAAGATAGAAGTCGTCATCATGCGAGATTGAAGATCGACTTTACAAGAATCAAGATGAGGAAAATGAAAAAGAAAAAAGGAATGGCCATTGCCGGTAGGAGGATTCAGCGGCGATTAATCGTCTGGAGGAGAGCACCCGAGGGATGCAGTGTTCGACGACTAAGTCTATAGGAGATTGCAGCAGTGAATGGCGATGTCGAGGAGGTGCAACCGGTCACCGGCAGAGGGCTTGAGTGGAGACGAATTGGTAGTGAGAGGAGCAAGCGACGACAAGTTAGCGGAGTACCTTGGAAGAATTCTCAAGCGGGCTTCAGTTGGCTCTGTTCGTGAAAATCTGAAGAGACAATCACGTGATTTGATGATGAGATCTGATGACAGATAAGGCAAACGAGTATGCGACAGATAAGACTAGTGTAGAAAACCAAATGTGATTCTAGTAGTAGAGCTGTCAGTATATAATTATTCAGAGTCATCGCGGGAGCAGGAGTTGGTTGGTGTGTAGACTCGAGGAGGACAGTGCCAGATTAGGTGGAGTTTGCAAGCATACACGACCGTGACACACAAGGAGATGAAGATGGTGACATTGGACTTGAAGATAATGAGTGCTCATATTCGGTCCAAGCCAAATGATGGAGGAGATGGAGGCATCTAGCTCGTAGTGTGGAGGAGGAAATGTGCATCGATATGTTTCTAGACGAGCGATGCAGGTGGAGTACGAGGACAACAAGTGGGGGAAGTCTACTATCAAGTTCAGTTTGGGAGTAGAAGCATGGTTGATTTGCTTCTAATGTCAAATGTGGCAAAGATCTCTTAGAGCGCACAAGAGAGGTGGAGGCGCCACAGCGAGACAGATGAAAGTGAGGATCATAAGGGCATCCAGTTGGAGTGCAGGTGCTTCGATTTGAAGTGTGAAAGAAATAGAAGACTCTAGCGGGAGAGGCAAAATTTCAAGATAGCGATGATATATCTTCAATGGAGTTTGGGAATCAAATTCAAGGTGGAGAATGTTAGGATTGTATCTTTGATTCTTTGTATAACTTCATGAGAATTAGATAGAGTTAGAGATTTATCATGATTAGGAGATTGAGTCTCATCATGATTAGGAGTTTGAATCCTATTCCGATTAGGAAGTTAGGTCAGATATAAGATTTTGGTTTCCCTATATATATTCTTCTATTGTTGGAGGAAAAACCAAACAGATGGGAGAGAGCTAATATTCTTGTAATCTAGGGTTAGTAGAGGGCGTAGCCTGATTCAAGAATATTGTGCGAGAGGTGAGAGTTTCATAATCTTTGTCCGTGTAAAAGATTACATCATTGGGAGAGGGTTTCCCAATATTTGTCCGTTCAAAAGATTGTAAGGAGAGAGCTTTGGAGAGAATATGAGAGTTGATTATGTATGTGAGGTTGATAGATTGAAAGACGAGAGTTGAGTGGTTCCTCTTGTAGTTCTCCCTGATACATAGTTGATTTCACGTATTGTTACCCGTTGACATAGGTCAAAGTTAGTCGACCGAACCACATAAATCTCGGTATTCTTTTTTCTTGATTGTGGTTATTTTCTATTTTGTTGATTGTGGGTTGACTTCCGAGTTGCGCATAATATTGTAGTAGACGGGCAGACTAAAATTCCCAACAATTATAGCATTTTAAGGTGGTTTTCGGGAAGAAAAACAAAAACTCCCAACAGTCCCAGGCTATTTTATTTAGTAATACTTAACATCTTTGAATTTACAATTTAAAAAATTACAGATAATTTTCTCTCTCTTAATTATGTATCCAAGAGTGCTCACTACTACTAAGATCTTCTCTCTTTGATTAATTATCCCAACCAGGTTTCATCTCGACGCGGCGGAGGATTGGGTGGCGGAGGGGGACGTGACGGACGCGGGATCGGGGAACGCTGTAGATTTGGAGTCGGTGGCGGTGCACGAGATAGGTCATCTGTTGGGTCTCGGTCACTCGTCGGTGGCAGGAGGCCGGATCATGTACCCGACGATAAAGACGAGGACGAAGAAGTGGAGCTGGCGGCGGATGACGTTGAAGGAGTGCAGAAGTTGTACGGGAGTAATCCCAATTATAAAGGTCAGCGGCGGCGAGAATCAGCAGCGATACAGCGGCGGAGGTGGCCGGAGAATTGGGACGGGATTTGTGATGGGGTCGGTTTTGGTGGGGATGGTGACGGGCTTGTTGTAGACTAGTAGATGGTGGTGGGAATTTTTTTTTATAATTAATGTTTTGATTACATAGTTCACGCATCACATTCATTTTTTTATTACCTTTTTTTTTTGAAATTTTTTATGATACTGATTACATATTTGTATAGACCATGATTACAACATTTTTAGAAATTAATCTTCACCATTTCTCATATTTTTCTGTTCTGACCACAATTTTGATACATTTATATGTTAAACAGGTGGAATTAGGACCTTCAAAATTCAATATCTGAAAAACTTATGATATATAGAAAAAAGGACCTTCAAAATTCAACATCTGAAAAATAAAATTAAATAACCTCCTAACAGCTACAAAATCAAAATCTAAATAGTTGAAAATTCTAGAACGTCTGAACATGAATAACATAATGGATCGGGTGAATCATAAAGCCCGAAAATAAAATAACAGAAAATAAATCAGATGGCATTCAATAACAATATTATCTGAAAATATCTTAGGATGAAATATTTTGGGCTTTGAAAACAACATCAAATCGATGTAGCATTGTAAGGTCTAAAAAGAGTTTTGTGTGTACTCTTGGATCACCTCAATGTGAACTTCACATCAAAAGTTATGACTGCTTGAAGTTTAAGTGCCCATATAGACTTTCTCATTCTAATCTATATCATTCATATCTCCATCAAATTAGAAGGAAGAAAAATGTATTGGTGATTTCACTTAGGACATCGACTTGAGAAAATAGATCTGAAATAGATATGATTTCTAAATTAAACAGTAAAGTAAATTAAATGTATTAAAACTTGGATCATTTTTTAAGTATAAAGGAATAAATATGACTTCTAAATTAAATGTATTAAAACTTAGATCATTTTTTAAGTATAGAAGATAGATATGATTTCTAATTTTAAGTACACAATAAATAAATTAAGGGAAAATTGTTTGGAGGAACCAAAATAAGTTGGGCCAAGCATCCTCACCCCCAGCCCAACAACCATAACCCATAAGTCCTAAAATTAAAAAAATATGAGCAACCAACCCCCAAACTCACTGTCCAAGAAAACCACTTCCCAAATTACCCTTCTTCCCAATTAAAACCCAATTCATTTCCTCTCGTCCCCTCCTCCTCCCTCCTCAGCAGCATCCCCCTCCTCCGGCGACGATCAACGAGACGCCGTGAAATTTAACAGCGATGTCGGGGCAACAAAATCTCGAGTGAGGGCAGCGGTGATGGTTCCTTCGTTGATGACTAGCTTTCAGACATCAGGGAGCTTGATGCTAAGGTTTGAGCAATAATGGATAGGGGTGGAGGGTCTAGAATTATGGGTTTGATGTGACCATGAAGATGGTCTAGGAGGATGAAGAAAAGGCGAGAGCTTGGGCGTCGGCAGCGACGATCGGGGCGTGTTTTGCCTGGCATGGTGGCTCGTGCGCTTGTTAATTTGCTTCTCCTTCGTTGCTTGAAGGGAGCTTGTTTATGCGGACTCGGCGTTGGCACTGAGGTTTGTGTTCTATTTTAATTGGCTGAAAGGGGATGCGTGGGTGCTTCTTTGAAAGATGACGGTGATGTTTCCTTCGATATCTCCCTCACGCTCACGCAGTACACATTGCAATAAATGAAAAAAGAAGAAAGAAGAAGAAGCTGGAAATGTCGGATTGTAGCAATTTGTAAGAAACAGTATCACTACCTTTTCTCCTTTTGTCTTGAATTTTTTATTTGGGCTAATCGTTTTGTCTCTCTTCTTGCCGGGAAGCAAGAGAACGGTGAAAGTTGAGTGAGTTCTTTGGGTTGTTGGTGGTTGTTGTTCGTGGCCTCGATTTCTTTTGGTTGCTTGTCTTCTCTGTCCATGTTGATTTTTTGTTGCTTCTCCTTTTTTTTAACTCTATTTTTTCCTTAGATTTTTGAATTTTATGATTGATATTAGGACACTTTTTATGAGGAGAGGATCCGGGTTTTGAGGGGGAGTTAGAGAGATGCATGGGGGGAGCTCTCCGAAACTATTAACTGAGATATAATAATACCTCAATTTTGGGGAGAGGACGGAGGATTTGTACTCAATTTTGGAGAAAGAAGAAAGAAGAAGAAGAGGGAAATTGTTTGCTTTAAATTTGAGTTTTCATTTTTTGTACTGCACATTGTTGTAAATTGATTCTAAAGGAAATGGGATGGTGGGTTAAGACTGTAACTTCCTGATGTATTTTTGTTTGATGGGTTAAAATCCTTTGTAAGGATGATTTTGATCCAATTAGAATTCAATTTGGGAGTGTTGTTATGTTTCTTAGTTATTCAAGGTTAAATGGGAAATGAGGGATTTTTTGGAACATATATGTATCACAGTTAACCGTAAATGTGATATGTAAGAACGCTATGTGACAAATAAGCATATCATGTGATATTTCGATGTTATATGTGACAATTCAATCCTACATGTGACATTTTTACCTTATATGTGATATTTAGATCTGATTTGTGACTTTTGAGTATTACATGTGATATTGAGACCTCATATGTGACGGTAACGTATATGTGAACATTAGATATGTACTTCATCTAAAATATATATTTCTAGATGCGCACCATTCCAGATGTGTACTTCATATTGTTGAGAATTATAAATTGAAGTTTAGAGAGATGAGTTTTGCCTCAAGTGATGCTCAATGTATTTCAAAATTATTAGAGTTTGCTGCATACAAGTATACGTTCATCTGTTATGTGTGACCTTTACTCGTCTCGTGTGGCAATACTCTATTATATGTGACTCTTATCTATGTTCTGTGATATTTTGCTGTTGTTTGTGACAGTTGTCATTTATATGTGACACTTGGCTGTACTTTGTAGTTAATTTTTGTTTGACACACGGATATGGTCCTATCACTTCCAATGTTGCTGAATCTTTCAACAATTAGATTCGTGTGGCGAGAACACTTCCTATTTATGATATGATGGATCGCATTCGTGTGCAAATTATGAAAAGGATGAATACTTATAGGTTCTGGATACACTGTATAATGGGAACTGTGATATTTTCGTCTTATATGTGACCTGACGACTTTACTTGTGACATATCAACTTTACTTGTGATATATTGATTTTATTTGTGATATGTATGTTATATTCAACTTGCAGTCTTCCTAATGTAAGTTCACAGTCATTGGATCATATCGAGGAACCTTATGAGAGGATCCCAATCGAGGAATCAGATAGGATCCCAAAACGACAATCCTCGAGGAGAGCATGTGTGGATGATGAACGATATAGCAAGTGACTCGTCTCACGTGTGACATTTACTCATCTCATGTGGAATGACTCTATAAGATGTGGCTTATATCTGTTGTATATGATATTTTACTGTTGCTTGAGACATTTGTTGTTTATATGTGACACATGGCTGTAATTTGTGATAGTGAATTTTTGTTTGATACACAGATATGGTCATATCACTTCCAATATTGTTAAAATCTTACAACAATTGGATTTGTTTGCCGAGAATACTTCCTATTTGCGATATGATGTCACGCTGAAGGACATAACCGAGCCACGTGCAATGAACCTATCCAAGATTAACGATTCTTAGCAGAATTCAAACTCTCTTGTGACTGTTGTTTGTTACATGTTACTTTGTCCCTTTTGTTGTGATATTTGCTACTTAAATGTGACATATTACCTGTTCGTGTGACTTGTTGGTATTAACTGTGACATCTGTAAGAATGATGCGGCATAATTATGTACCAAAATTACAAGTGCACAATTTATCAAGTTATAGTATAAAAAGATATCGATCCCACGAAGAAGGTGATTTTAAGAGATTATTAGAAATGGTTCTTATATTTTATGCATGACAATTAGGAATAAAGAATAAGTGTGATTGTATGAGTGGTTGTTTTGATTTATATGCAAGAGGTAATAATTTGAATTTAAGAGGAGAGAAGGAAGAATTAAAGAATAAATAAAATCATAAGGCAAGAAATATGAATTAATAAAATCAAGAAATAAAACCAAAAATAAAAAGAAAATTTAAGAAAGTTAAGATGAAGGATTCAAAGAGGTAAGAAATCTAGAATATATTCCACTAACCAATTTTAATTACAAAATATAAACTATTCTCTTTTTATCATATTTCAACTTAGATTTATTAAGCATAGATTATCAAACCATTTAAGGAAAGTGTAACCTATCAAATTAATTTAAGGAAAGTATAACCTACCAAATTATCATCTAAGTTAAAATCACTATTCATGATAAGAACAACAACATGATAATAATCCTAGAATTCATAAGAATAATCTATCAAACCATTTAAGGAAAGCATAGATTATCAAATTCTTCTTCTACCGATTAGTTCTCTAGTTGATTATCCTAAACATGAACATTTTAAGTACAAGAGAATAATTCATACAATATAAAAGAAATTAGACTAGTTTCATACAATTCTAAGATTCCTACAAGAATTAAATTCACATCTTAAGAAATAAAAACAAGAAAAAGAAGACTAATTACAAAATTAAAAAGAAAAGAAAAATCTAAACTATGAACAAGAAATAAATCTAATTACAAAGAAAATAAAAATCTAAACTACAAAATAAATTGCAGAAATTAAATGCAAGAAAAATAAATCTACTCTACAAATTAAAGTGCAAAAAGAAATAAAAAAGACAAGAAAATAAATCTACACTACAAGCATGAATTTAAATCTAACTAATAAGCAATAATAAAGAAATTACTAAAAAGAAATAAAAGAGAAAAGAAATGCAAACCTTCAAATTGCTCTTCATCTCCATCCTCATCATTCAACAAAGAGGAGAAAGAACAAATTTAAAGAGGAAAAAATTATTTTTATTAATTGCAACTAAAGTTACAATTTTTGGAAGGCCTTCTCAATTAAGAGTAGCCCTCCTCTCCAAAAGGAGTTTACAAAATTTTCACACCTCTAACCCCTCACTCTCTACCCCTATTTATAGTAATCTTCAATGAATATGAGCCATTGGATTTGTCTTGAGCCCCAAGCAACAATCTCCACCTTTGATTTATTTGATTTTCAAAAGAAAAATAAAATCCAATTCTTGAGCCCATTTAAAATCCAGCCATTAAGATCAAAATATGCAGCGGCCCATTCAAGCTCCGGTCATGTGAATTTTGCATTTAAAGTGGAGAAAAATTATTATTATTAATTGCAACTAAAGTTATAATTTTTTTGGAAGGCCTTCTCAATTAAGAGTAGCCCTCCTCTCCAAAAGGAGTTTACAAAATTTTCACATTTTTGCATTCAAGTCCCTTTCATTCCAACTTTGCATAAAAATCCAATCTTGTTTGCATCCGGTCTTGTTTCCCTTGTGTAATCTTTTTGCTTTGGGCCTTCACAAATTCGAAAATTTCACTTTGGCTTCTTGAATCATTTCTTCATTTAATCAATGGGTTTTTGTTGAGAGATGGGAAATTGAGGTTTATTCTTCATTAACCTGTAATTAAAGATAAAAAAAAGTTATTAGTGGTATATTTATTCATATAGAATAGATAATGATGGTATAAAATTGTAATAAAATGTGATCATCAAATACCCCCACACCTAAACTTTTGCTAGTCCTCTAGCAAATAAAATAAAAAGAAAATCCTAACTCACTTTCGCAGGAATCGCGGTTGTATTTAGCGCTTACAACAAGCCTTTAAACCCCTAGGTTACCCTAGTGGACGAGTTGTAGTCTCGTGAGGGTTTGCAGTGAATATACCCACAAAATTCGGTCAACTTGCCAAGTTAATTAAGTCAGTAAATAACAGATTTTTCTTGAT